TCTCTAACTGCCGCATCCACGTTAAGTTTCAGCCTTCCCTGAGCCGGTCTATTCCATACCTGCGGAGGCCCCTGCAACAAGTTCCCACCCTGGGCAGCTAATTATAATTTTTATTAATTATAAATGGTCCCAAACGTCCTAGTTAGTCATATATTTAATCTAGCTTGCTCCCATATTTATTTCATAATTATTTTCGTCATTTAGTTAATTATTTACTAAATGTGTACAACTTGGCCCAATTACAATTAAATCAATTAAAAATAGCTACAAATATTATTTTTCAATTATTCTTGGTACGAATATGTATTTTTATACCAGGTATTTAATTTATATTTTTCCATATTTTATTTATTTCATTTACTATTTTATTTTTAATTTTTTTATTGAAAACGGGCCGAACCGGCCCAAATTCGCGACCCGGCCCAAGAAGACTGGGTTGTCTCCTTCCCAGCTCTTCTCCAGGTCGCGATTCCGGCGACCGGAATCCCGAAAACTCCGGCGAGCGATAACTTTACTTACAGGTAACGGATTTCGACGATTCAAGTTGCAAAATGATCCTCACGTCGAGGAGAAGCTCCGCCACCCCTATCTACGGCAAAATCGTGTCTTTTCTGAAGACCCGTTTCCACGGCTTGCAACTCCGGCGACCTCTAGGATGCTCCGGTGACTACGAATCGGTCTGGAATTTATTGGGAAGTATTCCTAGACCTCTCACGACCCTCCTCTATCGTTTTTACGAAGTTTGATACGTGAAATATTATAGGCATAAATTTTCCGGCGAGATTATGTATATATATGTATATGTATATATAGCTTCTATCTCTCCGATTTGCAGTGTTTAGGATGGCTAAGAGGGTGTATTTATAGGTCTAGATGGTCCTTATCGTTTATTTTATTTATTTGATAATTGTATGAATAATAATAATAATAATAATAATAATAATAATAATAATAATAATAATAATAATAATAATAATAATAATAATAATAATAATAATAATAATAATAATAATAATAATAATAATAATAATAATAATAATAATAATAATAATAATAATAATAATAATAATAATAATAATAATAATAATAATAATAATAATAATAATGTCTATACATAATGATAGGTTGGTAGTTGATGAACATGGCATGTGTATTGATCCCTGATTTGATTCCCATTTATATTGATGTTTCATTTTATTTTATTTTATTATTATTATATTTAATTACTTAAATGTATTTTGAGTTTTACATATAAATATATATATTTAAATATATGTACATAATGTATATACATTATTTGGTAGGTGATCTTAGCATGTGAGATTGTTTTATGATCTCATATTTTCATTTATCCTTTTGATACTTTTATTAGTAATTTATAATATTCTTACTATTATTTTTATTTATTTACTTATTTATTCTGTCACCTATATTTTATCTGATTCACTTAATTATTAAACTGTCAATTTCGTAACATTTTATCTGACTAATAAATTATTTATTTTATTTTAATTTTTCGGGGTATCACAAGTAATGAGGCTCCTGGAGAAATTGCCGTTGCGGAGGACGGTGTGGAAGAGGGCCATCAAGGTTTTGTCATCAGCGCCCTCGACCTCGAGGGAAGCTTGCCTCCAGCGTTCCAGGAAACTCCGAAGGGTTTCCTCCTTCTGTTGTCTCACATTCAGAAGGTGGGAGAAGTGTTTCTTTGAGCGGTGCCTCCCGGCAAACTGTGTAAGGAAGTGGTGGGCAAGTTCTTGCCAAGAATCAATGCTACCTTCGGGCAACCGGTTGAACCACTCATACGCTGGTCCCTCCAAGGTGGAAAGGAACCAACGGCATAAGTATTCATCTGAGGCCCCCATCATCATCATGCTATTTTGATAGCGGCTATAGTGTTCTTGGGGATCTGTCTTCCCCTCATACGGCTTGATAGGTTGCCCCCGATATTTGTGGGGGATTTTGGTCGCCAGCACCCTCGGGGTGAAAGGTGTCCTAGTGCGGAGCTGAATGTGGGGCTCGCCTGAGCCCTCGGCAAATTTACGCTTCATTTCCTCCACTTGTGCCCGGAGGTCAGCGTATTCCGGATCTGGTCTTGCCGTGGAAGCCGTCGGGGGTGCCTGACGATTCTCCTCAAGTTGACGGAGGAGGGCCTCGGTGATTTCGTCCTTGGGATCCTTCGGGGCAACCCCTTGGGAGTTGGCCCGGAAGGATTGAGCCTGATTGATTTGGTGCATGGCGTCATCGGCATGGAGGAGGGCTTTGCCTTTGCTTCGGGGGGAGGCACGCCCTCGGCTCCCAAAGCGGAGGCTCCACTCTCCTGGGGCCTGCTGAATTCCTGCTTGCCGAGGCGGTCTTGGATCCCTCGGCGTCCGGGAACTCCCCCCAACCTCTCAAGTGCAGAGGTTCGGGGCCTTTCCTTCATCGTGGGGCGCTTATCCCTGGATTGGGCCTCTTGGGAGGCGGTATCCTGCGCTATGACCCCCTCGGCATTGCCAATCCCCGGGGGAGGATTGTTGAACAAAGGAGGGAGTGGTGGTAGTTGGATAACATTTCCCCCAGCATAGGGCTGAAGGGGTGCCTGGGAGACGAGGGCTCCGGAGTTGAGAGCCATGTTTTGAACAAAGGCCGCAAAGGCTGCCTTAAGATCGATGGCCGGGGCCGGAGGGGGAACTTGGTTCTCACTCCGATCCCTCCTTCGATTATCAAGGCCAATGCGGGCATCAGGGGCGTTCTTCTGTAGCTGCTGTCTGAGGTCAGCAGTAGCCTGCTCTAACTCGAGGATGATGCCACCCTCGGGTACTAAGAGTCTGTTGGAGGCCTTAGCCCCGTTGGTTTCGCCGGGGGCTACGTGGTTCTCCTCAAGGGTTTTTGATTGGGCACGAGTTGTTCTTCCCATTTTTGGTAGGTGTTTTTGAGTTTGGTAGAGGGGGAGGGTTTCTTACTTGATTGTTCTGACCTCTCAATCAAAGCACCAAATGATGGACAGTCTACCCGGGGGGTATCTTATCCGAGGGGTTATTGCGGGAATAACTAGAGAGAAGTCAGAGCGAAATAGGAGGAGAGAGAGTCGATTCTATTAAATGAACTCCAGATGTCGTTTACAAGGTGAATAAGGGCTGCTATTTATAGCAGCAATAAATGCGATGAGAGTACACGTGTCAGTAATCCAATGGCCGAAGGGTCACGTCAATCGGGTGGCACCGGCAGTGGCATGTTCACCGCATTGAATGCGGTTGGTGGATGTGACGTTGCATTAAACGCGGTGGTTGCTTGTCTCCAAAGGGAATCTTTGACGATTAAACAGTTGGCCGAAGGCTTCCCCTTCGGCCGAGGGCCCTGTGTAGCCGAAGGCTCCATGTAACCGAGGACCCCTGCGTAGCCGAAGGCCCTGTGTGACCGGAGGCTTGGTTCAGCCGAAGGCTTCTCTGATGCCGAGGGCTTGATAATGCCGAAGGCTCCTGTTTTTCCCTGTTTTTTCCCAGTAGCTTCGTATGCCAGAGAAGGCTATCCCGTGAGTTTCGGAGCCTTCGGCCAAGGAGGCCGAGGGCACCCCAGTGCGTGTTTTGGGCTTCTTCGAGGTTCGGGCCGCTGCATTTGGGCCTGAGATGTTCCCTGGGCTTAATGGACTTGTGTAGGAGGAGTAGGAGTCTATGGGCCGGGGGTTCCCGGGCCATATACTCCATCACCATGTACTTTTAAAATTTTGTCACTAATTCCTAATACAATACACCCTTGTAGTGTTAGAGTTGAGTCCTATTAGGACTTTTATTATTAAGCATGTTAGTAGTGCTTTGTATTTAAGGAGAAGAAGCAGATCAATAAACGCAGACTTTTATCAATTGTTGTTTTATTTCAAATATATTAATCGGAGATGAAAATTTAGCTGAACAATTGCATAACGGTTTTGTTCTTCCGTAACGGAAGTATTAGGGTATTTAAGACCAATGAAAACTTTAGTACATTAATTTTATGAAAGAGTATAAGTTCTAATGCATCCAAGAGATTGACACATTATAGGGTTACTAACCAATATTCACAATTATAAGGTTTTTATTATAGATAGAGTCACCCCATTGTAGTGGTGTGGTACAAATTTCTATTATTGACAAATGTATGTGTGAAGTAATTTTTAGAAATAAATGACGTTGGGCATTTATTCAATCATGCAACGCGGGTGTAAACAAACTAGATTTAATATATAAGTTCATAAAAATTCACCGCTAGTGTTGGAAGGATATTCCTCTCTATCACATACTTCCTCCGTTCTTAAATAAATGCAACGGTCAACATTTCATACTTGCCGAGACACAACTTTGACCATTAATATAAATGATTTTCTATTAGTAAAAAAATATAATTAAAAAAAATTAGATTATGAAAATTTACAATGAGACAAGTTTAACAATATTTTTTTCATAAAATAATAATATTACATTAATAAATAAAACGTAGTCAAAGTAGAACATGTGAATAGTGTAAAAGTCAAAGTGTTGCATTTATTTAAGAACGGAGGTAGTACTATTATAGTATCTTGACCTGTGATACTTCCTCTCACAACACTTTTAATACCAACGCTTTCTCTCTCCCTCCCAAATAAGGTTAGTTCATATATTATCTTTACAGTTTGTTTAGTAATATTGAAATTGGTTGAATTAGTTGATTCTTCTAAATTATAAAAAGATTATATTTAAGATATACTTTATTAGTACTACCTTCGTCCCATTTTATGTGTCTCCTTTGTTTTTGGCATAATTTTTAATAAAGTGGTTGAAAAGGTAAAAGTTGTGGTTGAGATTTGAGTATAGTAAAGTGAAATGTTGTAAACCACATACTTCTTTTCAAATAGGGAAATGTGACACTTATTTTAGAACAGCCCAAAAAGAAAAGTAAGACAGATAAAATGAGACGGAAGGAGTAATATATAAAAAAATAAAAAATGATTTTCTAAACTCGGCAATATAACTATAATAAAATATATATATATATATAAAAAGCTGGGCAATATAACAAAGTAACTGGAACCTTATGCACGTGCCTGTGGCTAACAGAATAAAGGTTGTCAAGTGTGCGGGAGAGGGAGGGGGGAGAAGAATGCAGACATTGCAAGAGAAGGCATCAGAGTGGAGTGGGGTGAGCACCACCGAAGCCTTCGCCATTGACGAGACCAATCTCTTCCAGAAGCTCGGCCTCGACACTTTTGTCAATCTCTCAACCAATTTCTACACCAGGTTTTCATTTTTGTTTATAATTCCCTTTATCCCTCCTCGCCAATCCCTAAACCAAAACCACGGTTTTATTAATTTGATCTGTTTGTTATTCGGAACTAGGGTTTTTGATGACGAGGAGGAATGGTTTCGCACGATATTTGCAAGCTCAACCAAGGAAGATGCCATTAGGAACCAGTATGAGTTCTTTGTGCAGAGGATGGGAGGACCGCCTTTGTTCTCTGAGAGGAGAGGTAAAAACGAACTACTCCGTATGTTTTTACCTTTCATATTTATTTACCAATGTTGCTACTTTTTCCTCATTATTGCTGGTTCTTATGTGGGATGGTGAGTATGTCTTGTACTGTGAAAAGCCTCTCAGGAAGTATTCATAGATTGTTATAACCCACAGAGTCATAGTGAAGACCAGAAAATTTATTGGTTCGATCTCAAGTCATAGTCAGCTACCAATTGATGATTCGATGATACCTTACACATTGTTCAAATACCCAAAATCTAATGGTGTACCTCTATCCCAAAAAAGATTCAGATTTGATGAATCATACTTGTATTTTTTGGAATTTTATTTGTCTATAGTTTACTTATCTTCTTATTTAAATTTATCATATGCAACTTGTTTGAGAATTTTGTTTGGCTAACTTAACCTCGTTTGACCAAACTAGACATTTTTTTCGGGACAAATCAAGAAACACAATTGATGCAGAGACTGTTGTGCACCAATCTGATAAATGACCCAGTTTTAATAACACCGCATGCATGATGAATGTACTAGTAACTATTTTTTTCTACAGGTCACCCTGCCTTGATTGGCCGACATCGTCCATTTCCAGTGACTCAGAAAGCTGCAGAGAGATGGTTGCATCATATGCAACAAGCATTAAACAGTACTGCAAATATTGACAATGACTCCAAGTCCAAAATGATGAATTTTTTCAGGTACACAAACTTGGTCTTGTTGTTTTCACTCTTTGTTGTTTCTTATGCAAGCTCACACTACTGTGTATGCTTTTAGGCACACTGCATATTTTCTGGTGGCTGGAAATGAATTAAAGAATCAAGGCCAAGGAGGAGTTGCTTGTAAACCAGCTACAGCATGACGTTTCTCCATAACTTGCTGCTCAAGGAGTATGGAAAAAATCGGTGTAGAATGATATGCATGCACACACCTGCACAAACTCATAAGTTGAATGGAAGTCCCATCCCTCTCAAGCTTTTATGTTAGTCTCTTCCCTTCCTCACATTTATTTGAGCTCACAAGTGTTGTGTGGAACATTGTATTGTATAGAGATCAAGTCAGCCTAGACAGTGCAGTGCTAAAATCAGTTCCAATGCGCTCCCCATATGTCAATGTTACAGAGCATGACAATGGGCCTGCCTATTAAGTTTTAAGCTACTATGTGCTCCCTATTAGTGTAAAATTTAAGAGGAAAACAAACACTGAGGTTAGTTTTTAACACAGATCTAACTATTTTACTACCAAGGGGGGCAAATCCAGACTGGCATGTCTTTCCACTCATGACCGAATTGATTTCCTGATTCTGATCCGGAACTGGGCCAAACTAAGTCACTTGTTTTGCTCACCTAAGAACATAACTGGCACGGCCTACCATGTTTTTCTTTTGACCTCATCTAGAAGCACTACTAAAAAACTGGTATTACGGGCTCCTCTAGTTACTACTCCCTCCGTAACATATATATGTTCCTATTTGAAAAGTAGGTATATTAAGAATAGTGAAAGGAAATGTAAAGTATTGAGGGTATGATGGGAAGATAGTGAAATAATGTGATGGAATGAAGGATAAATTCAAAAAAAGTAGGTGTAACAGTGTATTATTTTTAAAATTATTGAGGGTATGATGGGAATATTTAGAAATGAGAAGATATGAATGTTACATCCGAAATAGAAAAGTGGGAAGATATGAATGTTACGGAGGGAGTAGTTAGTACATGCATGCTCAATTATCCGCATTTGGGACTCTGGGTTCTTTGGCCAATAACTCTTCGACAATTGGCAGCCACCCCATTTGGTGTGATGAACCCCATCAAGGGCCATCTGATGGCTCTGGACCTTTTTTGTTCGATAGAGGTATACGATTCCTCAACTGCATATCTCACTCGATGTGTTTTTTTCTACGTACCCAAAAGTGAACCACATACACCACTTGGTGTGCTTTGACCAATTTAATCAATTCAATTGTATATCATTACCCCCATCCCATCAAAAGCTCACTACAACATCAATTTTTCTTGCTAAAGATTTTGAAAGATAAATATCAATAACCATTTCATGCCAAGTTCTATAGAAAAATACTGCAACCCAATGGAAAATATCATCCACATAGAAATGCAGTTTCCTGGCAAGAATAAAATTAAAAGTCAGACAATCCTACGGACTCCTGAATTGGATTGTTGTTCTGTGATTCCACTAGCAGTCTCAATCTTTCATAAGCAATGAAGCACATGTGTGAATAATCCCTCACGGCCCGGAAAAGTTCAGGCAATTGAATCTTCAGACCTCCCAAAGATTTCTCCCTAACTTGGACACATTGCTTCTGATAAGCTTCCGTTTCCTCATCCAACCTCTTCTTCAAGCTCTCCACCATAAACTGCCTCTCTGAAACAGGGTCCACCTCATCCTCCCGTGGGGCCCTATGCTGCTGCTGCATGTGCTTCTGACACCATTCTTGAAACGACTGACTCTTACGCATGTACTCTTTTCTTGTTTCTTCACACTTGTCCTTCAACTTCATTTCATCCTCCTGGTGAAGACTGATTGTCCTTATCACAGCTTCAAAAGTGGTAATTGCACTTTTGGAGTGCTCATCAGGGATTTTCTCGAGAAGCTCATTCCAGGCTTGGAGGAGCGTTTGGATGGGCGGGTTTTCAGGTCTGGGTGGAGATGGTGTTGTCTTTTCCTTCAGGCCACTTTCGACCGGGACGAGGTTTAGTTTTAACCACTTGCTGAGGGTTTGGATGTAGTTTTTTTGGTTATTCACGAGGTTTTCAAACTGGTCATGCCACTCCTTAATCACATCGCCTAGTTGGATGGTGCGCTCCTGGTGATGTTTGGTTGTTCCTATGGGGGTGGCAGAGATGTCAATGGTTGTGAGGTCCATAACTATCCTCATCTGTTCTTCATGGTGTCTACACATAGATCCCCACATCTTGGCCATCCTGCAAATACCACATTGATTGTCATCTCTGATCATTACAGCGTTTACGTTCCTTTGAACCCTAGAAAATACTGTTGGGGGGGGGGGGGGGATCACAGGCAACACTTAAAAGGATGAAATATGTTGAGGAATATAAAAAGTTTTTTTGAAAGAGAGGAATATAAAAAGTTAGGCTTCAACTAAATGTATTCATTTTAAGTCCAATTTAGTACTCCGTATAATTTGTCTGCTTATTCTGCTTACTAATAGAAAAAGCTAAATAATGAGAACAAGTAGACTTTGACTTGCTTATGAAATCGATTTTATCTAACTCACATCCTTTAATAGTTTTAAGCAAATTCAGCCATTTCATCAAAATAACTCTTACAAAAGAGGCTCTTTGATTTTTTTAATGCTCATTTTATTTGTTTATCCCTATCATAAGGTATAGTAATTTTTTTTTACATTTCAAAAACTAATCATAATTGTTTTCTTATTCCCAAGCTAAAACCAAACATACGAAAATAACTTTCTTTGTCATTTTATTTCAAAAAAAAAAACTTTCTTTGTCATTTCCCCCCTCTCCCTAGCACTTTTTGTTATCCAAACTTACCCTAAGTAGAGTGGAAAACTGGACTGGGAATCTAGGATATCTATATGTTTCAATTGTGATTTACTAAGTTGGAAATCTAGCAAAAAATGTAACCAAGATTATTTTAAAAAAAATCACCAGTAATATCAGCCAGGACACAAGGACAATATCAGCCAGTGACTAAGATCAGTTTACTCAAATCACCATTTGTGAACGATGTACATAAAAAACATACCCGAGGACAAGATCAGCCAGCTTCGGATACAACTGCTTGTCGCGAATATCATTCACTTCCGTGACTGTTGAATCCAAAGATTGCATTTCAACTATAAAACGTGTATACAAATGGCTAACAGCGGCTTTCACCTTCTCCAGTGATTCAGAACTAGCACTGCGTTTTTTCAGCTTGTTTAGAATAGCAACTTTCCTTTGATATTCATGCTTAATAATCTCACCAGCCTATCAAAATTGATCAATCAACGATTGTCAAATGTCAGTTACCGATATAAATAACAACAGCGTTTTGATATTTATAACGACAAATAATTTCCTGGGTTTTGCAATAACATTTTCCCCCTTCTGGGCGGCATTCCCTCCCTCTCCAGGAAAAGGGCTTGTGCGAGTACCTTGGTCTTTGTTAGTTGTAGGATATACTATCTAGTTTTTAGCACATAGAAAACATATCATGTTCGTACTTTAGGTAAATGAACATGCATAATCATCATCAATTTAGGGGATTTAAAGGAAAACCATCTCCAGGAAACCAATAAAGTTGAGCATGCAAATCCACCTTTAGTTCCTCATATAGTTTCTTCTCCCAAGCCAGCAACTTATCCAAAACAGTGGCATGAGTCTCAAATTCACGACCATCGTGATTTTCCTTTGCACCATCACTGTTTGACTCTCCATTGACAGATTTGTTCCATGTGATGATTTGCATTACCCTTGCCGCATGATCTATATTTGCTGTAAAAGAGGAACATTGATGTTCAATAAAGGACCATTACTTATGGTCATATGTTGAAAAAGGTTTGCAGGGCTCAGTCTGGTATACCATTGAGATTTTATACAGATTGAAGCAATCTCATGATAGGCGAGGAGACTACAATCCAAACTGATCCTTATTCTACAAATGGTTTTCCTAAGGCCAGTAAAAGATTCAGTACAATTCCAGCATGGTATCAAGATCAGTCTTTACCCGGAACTAGAGCCTACTTACAAACAGGATCATCAATATTAATATGGGAGAGTATATTACCTTTGTCTGCGAAGTTGGAGTGATAATGCAGGGTAGCAGCCTCTAGCATCAGTGATACCTCTTGAACACACTCTGAAGCCTTGAGGAAATGATCATCTATCACACTGAAAACCTGATAGAAATCTGCACTACTTGCACTCGCTGCTTTATCACTGCCAACCAATTCTATAATTCCTGGAGGCGCAGTCTTAGAATGAACAAAGTTTTTCTGCCTCCCCATCACAGGAGGTGTCCCCTCCTCTGTTAATCCTTTCTCCGGTGTCTTGAATTCTTCACCGAGATTCTCAGTTGTTGGAGTGACAGGGCTATCATCACCATCTCCATCCTCATCCACGTCATTTAGGGCTGTTCCGGGCACATTATCCGTCATATAAAAGTAATCCCAAGCTAAGCCATGAGGTTGAGGAGAGAGTGGATCTGTAACTGGAGTCCCCTCTTCATTTCTATCAGGTATGACCACGCCGTTTGGATGATGATTGAACCCACCAACACCTTCCTCATCCTCGCCAATGGCTATGCTCTTCATCTTCTCCCCCGGATTAGAGAGCTCAGGCATAGTGATAGAGCGCTGCAAGGGCGTGAGAGGGGAGAAGTTGGGTAAGGGCGGGGGAGGTGGAGGGAGGGGAGTCCTGTCAATGATATGCGGAGGAGGGGGAGGCTTGCTGTCGGGAGGGGGGACTTGGGCCTGCGCGAAGTCGCTCAAGGCGGCGCCTGTGTTCTTAAGAGCCATGGCGTAGGCGGAGTGAGCGGAAGCAAAGGCGTTCCTCAGCAAAACGGCTTGCTGCATCTGATTCCTCCTCTCCTTGCATCTGGATACCGATTCATCGCTGTCCAATCTGGATTGAGCGCATCCCATTTCTTCCTTCCTTCCTTGCTTAGGGCTAATTTAATTTAAAAACCTTCGCCTTCTAGATCATTCATGTATATTGTATGTTTTCATATTAACAGTTGAGTTCATGAAAGAAAGTTCAACACTCGGAACGGCTGCGGAAGTGCGGAGCACCCCATTTTCATTTCTGTCTGTGTGCGAGACTAGAGAGAGAGAGAGAGCAATTGTGAGCTGCAGGTGGGTACCGCAGCAGCTGGTTTTAAATCCACCGCTCTTAACGGTCACATCTCTCGAGGCGGTTGTTACGTCGTCGTTCCATCCCATTAGTTTTCAAAAATATAAATGTAGTTGTACACAATTTGTACACACAATGTCGGTCACAGACAATTGGTACGGAGTTGTTTGTGACCACAGACAGGAGTTGTCTGTGTACACAGACAAATTTTGTCTGTTTCCACAGACATTTACTTTTTTGTAAAAAGTACTTGTCAATGTCAGGCGGCTCTCAGTGTACTTTTTACAAAAAAGTAAATGTCTGTGGAAACAGACAAAATTTGTTTGTGTACACAGACAACTCTTGTCTGTGGTCACAGGCAACTCTGTACCAATTTTCTGTGACCGACATTGTGTACAAGTTGTGTACAACTTGTGTACCCCTAGCATTTTTCACTTTTTAATCACTACTGCCTTTTTATAACTAGACTAGAGAGTCACTAGACTAGAAGGAATGTATCTATTTGGCTAAAACTAAGGTTTAATTTAATGAGAGACGGTAGGGCCTCCCTATAATATCACAATTTATACCGTGCAACCGGCGCACCATGAGGATGGTGCGCCCGGTTGCAAAACGGCGCACGCTTCATTCAAAACGACGGAGTGCCTGGTTTCTTTTTTTCTTTTTTTTTACTTTTGTTGTTAAAAAATGATAATAACTTTTTTATTTTTGCTCCGATTTTTATAAAATTTATATCAATATTTTTTATTTTTCATGATCTTTCAAATGAGACCAATATTGCTTATGAAATTTTAAGAAATTATCGAACTATTATATTAATGAGTATTGGATTATAAAGAAAATCGAACTAAATTTAATATAGAAAAATAATTGTGTAAATCACAATTTATCTTAAAATTGTGTATATAAAAAATTTATTGTATTATGTATTTATACATGTGAGTTACATATTTTTATACGTGAAGTTACATATTTTTACACATAAAGTTACATATTTCTACATGCAAGTTACATATATATACACATGAGTTGCATATGAATTGCAGGGAGATGATAAGTTTGTGAAATAGAAGATCGAATCTGTTTGGGAGTGGATCAGTGGCCTCAATTACATTTGATAATTGAGTTACATCTTTTTATGAGCGAGCTACATCTTTTTATAAGCAAGTTACATATATATACACACGAGTTGCATTTGACCTGCCTGAACGTGAGTTACATATATTTACACGTAAAGTTACATATTTATACACGTAGAGTTACATATTTTTACACACGAGTTGCATTTGGCCTGATTGAACATGAGTTATATATTTTAACACGTAAAGTTACATATTTGTACACACAAATGTTAATATGTTAAAATTACATAGGCAATATTGGTCTCGTTTGAAAGATCATGAAAAATAAAAAATGTTGATATAAATTTTATAAAAATCGGATCAAAAATAAAAAAGTTAATACTATTTAAAAAAGAGAGAGAAATAAAAAATAATGAGGCCAACTGCTAGAACTACGTCGTATTGGTGGCGGGTGTACTATGCTCATAGTGGGCCGGTCGTATGGTATACGAACTGCTATAATATACTTCTTTCGCCTTTTAAAATTTTGTAAACTTTCCTTTTCTTTATTTCTTTTTATTTTATTTTTGTAAACTTTCCTTTTTGGAGTCACACTAACTTTGTCATTTTTCTTTTTAAGTAAAGAATTTGTGTTTCTAATTAAGTCTCTCTACTCTGAACAAACATTAACCATACAGTCAAATTTGACCAAGTTTTAAGGGACGAAGGGAGTACTAGACTCTCGCTTGTGAGATGCATGAGACATAAATATTGCAATTGCTATATCATATTATTTGTTAATATTATTAGCTGATGTGTAAATGAATGCAAAGAGTAAGGATGTAATATACATAATAAATTATAATCAGTGGCGGATCTGTGATTTGAGCTTTGGGTGTTCATTTTTTTCTATAATTAAAATTTGAAAAGACAATAAATAATTAAACCAAGGTTTGAAAAGACAATAAATTATAATCAGTGGCGGAACCAAGGTGATCATTTACACCGATCATGCGGCTCTTAGGTTCTTGATGACAAAGAAAGAGGCCAAACCAAGGTTGATTCGATGGATACTACTCTTGAGCGAGTTTGATGTTGAGATCAAGGACAAGAAGGGCATGGATAACTTGGTGGCCGATCACTTGAGCCGTTTAGTCCTTGATGAAGGAAATTATCATATCAAAGATGACATCCGAGGGGAATTTCCCGATGAGACTCTTTTCTCTCTTAAGGAAATTCGCCCTTGGTACGCTCATATTGTTAATTTCCTTGTTCTAAACAGGTTCCCACCAAGCTTCTCTAAAGCTCAAAGAGAGAAGCTCCAACATGATGCAAAACAATACGTGTGGGACGAGCCATACTTATGGAAACATTGCAAAGATCAAGTAATTCGAAGATGCATTCCCGAAACGGAGATAGCATCCATCCTTGCCTTTTGTCACTCACATGCATGTGGTGGCCACTTTGGAGGGAAACGAACATCTATGAAGGCACTTGAATGCAGTTTTTGGTGGCCAAGCTTATTTCGAGATGCCCATGTCTTTTGGGCAATCTTGTGACAATTGCCAACGCATGGGCAACATCTCTCGAAAACATGAGATGCCACAAGTATCGATGCTATACGTGGAGATCTTTGATGTGTGGGGAATAGATTTCATGCGACCTTTTCCCAACTCCCATGGAAATCTATATATTCTCTTGGCGGTAGACTACGTGTCAAAATGGGTGGAAGCAAAAGCCACCAAGACCGATGATGCCAAAGTAGTGGCGGGCTTCCTCAAAACCCGCATCTTCTCAAGGTTTGGAGTCCCATGCATATTGATAAGTGATAGAGGCACTCACTTCTACAACAAAACTGTGAGTGCCTTGTTGAAAAAATATGACGTCACCCACAAGCTCTCTACCGCCTACCACCCATAAACAAACGGCCAAGCTGGGGTCTCGAACAGGGAATTGAAGTCAATACTTCAAAATACGGTGAATCCCAATCGCAAAGATTGGAGTCTCCGCATGGATGATGCCTTGTGGGCGTATAGAACCGCTTTTAAAACTCCAATTGAAATGTCACCCTATAGACTTGTGTTTGGGAAGGCTTGTCACCTCCCGGTCGAACTCGAACATAAGTCTTATTGGGCGGTAAAAACGTTCAATCTTGACATAGAGCAAGCAGGGATACAAAGGAAGCTACAACTCCAAGAGCTAGAGGAGCTTCGACTTGAGTCCTATGAGAATGCCGCCATCTACAAGGAGAAGACGAAGGTATGGCATGATAAAATGATAATAAGAAAGGATTTCCAAATTGGAGACAAAGTCCTTCTTTTTCGATCACACCTTCGTCTTTTCCCCGGTAAGCTGAGATCACGATGGGAAGGACCATTTGAGGTGGTCAAGATTTACTCCCATGGAGCGTTAGAAATAAAGAGCCTCGACACCGATAAAATCTTCAAGGTAAACGGGCATCAACTCAAACCGTTCCTTGAAGGCTTCCAAAAAGAAAGCGTTGAATGCATGGATCTTTTCGATCCAATCTATGAAGGATGAACACAAATATGGCGTCGTGCCGTGACGTTAACTAAGGCGCAGCCTCCTCCTCAGATTTAACATCTTCCTCGTATGTCTCTTGAACTTTGTGTTCATTTTTATAAATGATTTGTTCAAACAATTCTTTGATACTCTCGTCACGAGATGCTAGTTCAATCCTTGTCTTTCTTAAGTCTTCCACAAAATCGAGTAAAGATGATTTTAATTCTTCAAGCTCGTGTTGAGGATAAGCTGAAATTCCGGAGTCATCCTCGAAGGAGTACTCGTTTGTGTTGGTGTAATGGTTTTCTAGCCTTTCGTGGTAATTTTCGTGATAATTAAAATCATCATGATAATTGCCTTGATAGGAAAAATCATCATAGCCTTCAAAGTTTTGCCCTTGGTGGAAATAGTTATCTTGAAATTGGTAATCTCCATACCCCAAAGTTGAATTTTCGCACCATTGATTGTTATCCTCATAACCTTGTCCATAGTATCCTTCATTTTGATTATTTTGAAAACTTTGTTGTTCATAGTATGGATATTGATATGGTGGTTGAGAATGAAAGTGTTCACTTGAGTAATCCATGAGGAAATCTCAAGCAAACACATGAGAACAAAAGAAAAAAGAAAAAGAAAGTCTCCCTGACATTCATGTAATCTCCATGTTTACTTTTGTGTTTTTAATTAGTTTGGAGTGATTGTTGCTTTGGAAATTACACACTTTTGGTGTAATAGTTTAGTTTGCAAAATGTTTGTAAATTGTTTAGATTAGGTTTATTCTGAGCTCATACAGGTCCAAGAGCACTCTAGGGACCATTGGTGAACATCACAAGTGGAGGGAAGATGCAAAAATTCCAAGAAAAAATGAAGATTCTAATTTTAGGTATTGTACCCGGTCGAGTATGCCCTATACTCGATCGGGTAAGTCGCTGAAAAATCAAATCGGATCAACTCGGGAACAAGGCAACATGCAGGGGAGATTTTGACCACGATCGAGTGTCTATACCCGATCGGGTGGCCGACATACCCGATCGGGTATGTCCCAGTTTTTTACAATTCTGCGAAGCAACCGAGTACCCGATCGAGTGCCCTTATAGCCCGATCGGGTACACGACCTTGCAAGCCTAAAAAGCCTACAAATACACCTCATTTCCTCCACAATAAACCACCAATTCCTATATATTTCTAAGCTCAGTCTAGATAAGTTCTTTCTTTATATTTTCTTCATGTTTAGTCTCCAAATGAGGAGCTAAACTCTTCCATCTTAGTTTTGCTACTTTGAAGCTTAATGATTTGTAAGTTGTGAGTTATTTTCTTTAATCTTCTTCCTTGAATATTAATTACTTCCTATTCATATTCCATATTAATATTTTGAGCATTACTTAAAGGATCAATTAGTTTTGTTTCATA